AGCTCTCTTCGCTTTTTTTTTTTTTTTTTTAGGCAAGCATTACTGAAGCCCAACAGCAGGCATTGAATTCAAAGCTGAATCTGCTAGACTGTCTAGTCAGAAGGCTAGTTTGTGTCAGGAAGAGTAGTATTGTAAACCAGCTATAGATTTAGTGACCTCATCACTTGAAGTGTGAAATGTTATGGAGCACAATCAACTATTTCCAAGCAGCAGGTGGTTTCAACTTAACCACACTAATAACCTGCATCTTGCAACTAAACATATTCCATATGGTTAAATTTACTGTTGAAGAGGTATTAAGATAACATGAATGGCTTCAATTTGACTGTAATACTTTAGAACAGTGTTCTATTTGAGCTAAATTATGCCAAACCATCCAGATTTGAGTGCGTTCTGCATGGAAATGTACGGTAGGTATTCAAAGTTAAATACTTACAACAATTTGTAACCAAAACTTTAATCCCAAGAATCTCACAAAAAACATTTTACAAGTGACATGAAAATTCTTGTACAGTAAAGAAATGTTATTTCTCACACTTACAATGTACCATTACACACTGAAACCATCCACTCCAGTTGTCAGTTTTATTGTATAATTTGGTCTGCTTCAACACTCTGGACTGGATGGTTAGACAATCATCTATTAAAAGCAGTGCTCTAATCGCAGGAAATACAGAATTTACTGACCCATGGGATTAAAAAACCTACATTTCACATAGTGGCAAATAGCTGTTCCAGCTAATACAAAGTTACAACTTAAGGAGCTTTGGATAACACCAACTGGAATTCATTCATTCCCTTAACCTTTTATTGGTTTGCATCTCCATCTCTCCCCCACCAGGCTGGAAAGCAGACACTTCTTGTTCTGCATAGACTGAATTCAGTTTGGTTAGAAAAAAATGCTGCAATGAATATTCAAATGTTTTCACTGCAAGTTTCAAAACTTAGATTCCCAGCAAAGAGATTCCAAAATGCACTAGGGACCAGAAACATTCTTCCATCTATGCGGTACAAACCAAGTACCATTCTAAGCAACTAGAAATTATGCATAAGGGTACATTGTAAAGCACTAAGTTTAGTAGTATTACAAATCATATGATCTCTTCAGAACCATATACAGATTCACATCTTTACATCTGTCACCTGTTACAAGATACAAGAAACAAAGCAAGTTTAACAGCTAAAATGTTTTTAAAATGCTCTGAGCTTTGTGAAGTCTCAAACAAAACAGTGTTCTGTACATACTCTTCCTCTTCCTGTCCTCAGATCTAACTTCCTGTACACAGCTTCTCCCGAAAGTCCTATTTCCTCTCATTTGACCTAGAGCGACTAAATAAGATAAATAATGTTAGAGGTGCAACAATGTTGTATTCCACCTATAGATTTCTGCTTAATTTAAGAATTAAATTCAATTAAGAGTTATGCACTTTAACTATTTTTAAAGATCGCAATTTTAATCTCTTTAACAAGTTTGTAATGAATGATTTGCCTGAAAAACTAGACACATGGCTTTCGCCTATAAGTGACACAGCATGAATACCCCTCAAAACAATTAGGAAAATTAATGGAATTGAATTATACAAGTCTTGCATTCATATTTCTTTTGGAGACATGTTAAATACTTACCTACGAGACCTGGAAAAGGAACGAGAAGGCTTGTGATTTCTTTCCCGGGACAGCGATCTCTCTCTTCTTCTGTCTCTGGAGAGGGACCTGCAACAAGGATATGATCATCTAGCATCAATACAAAATTACATGGATTATGTTATCCTAATACAAGACACTGCTTGATTGTTAATGAGGTACCTAGAAATCCCAGCCTTTTAACCTTTGCACTACAGGCTGGTTCAATACGAAGCATCAGTAACTTCTTCAAATATAACCATCCTGTATCTCACAATCCAGGAAAAGTAGCCCATAAGCCAGGAAACCACAATAAAAGAATTTGCAAGGCACATTGTAGATTTCTACTGATGTGCCTAAGTTTTGGGTTTTTTTCCAGTATGTCAATTCTAATTGGCACCTCCACTCTCACAAAGGAATAGCTAGTTAATGCATTAGCATTAGTTTTTGTTTTCCCCCCCCCCTTCAGTCTTATTTGCCATGTAGGCAATGTTGTTAAAAATGTAATTAAGCTGAAGCAAGCCTATGGCATAACAAATATTTGGAATATTTCATACCTGCCTAGAACTTGTTACCTTATATTAGCAGAACTATTCCAAATATGCCATTTTTAGGCAAATAAAACAGGAATTTACCAAAAAAAGATACCTCCTAAGGCCTCTCAATGTCTTATTTAATCAATATTTGCTTACCTGCTGCGGCTACGAGAAAAGCTTCTCCTTCGCGGTGATCTAAAAATCAGAAAGGGAAAAGTGAGGCTTTTTTCCTATTTTTTAGCATTAACGGGGCGAGGCATTTCCCAACTTGTCAAACTCACTGCTGGGCCCAGGGAACGTGCCAAGAAAAATAGGCATCCATCATCCAGTAAAACGCATGGAAAGATTAAGGCAATAAAACAAAGCTCAGTGTGAACAGCACGTTTCCAACCAGAAATTCACTTTAACTAATGCTTCATAGCAGACTTGTCCAATGCAACGTTTCCATATCAACTAAATCTCTGCCCAGAACACCACACCAAAGTCCCACAAGTGGTTCCAAAAGTAACATAAACCAATGTTTTGGAACCCATGCAAGCCAAAAGGGTCCATGACAAGACATAAGAGATACCAAGTGGAAAAAGTGAAAATGCGCTCTGTGTAAATATTGATAATGCCATTAAAGTGCTACATTAGAACTGCATATTTGTGATTGTCATTTTAAAATGCCAGTGTGTTTAGACTTAAAAAAAATAACCTTAGCTCGGCCCAGTTCATCCCAAAAAACTAATTGTTTTAAGTTTTGAAAACTGTTAGTAAAACCATTTAAAGGTGATAGGATTTTCTGCAGGAAAAAGCTAAGTTTGTTAGAGCTTTATTAATTTAGTTTCGCACATCACATGCATATACACTGCCTTTTTTACTTTTTGCTCTATTTTAATATGTAACATTTCCTTATCACCCTTAAAAGTTTTTCAAGCAACATATGTACGTTACCACTCAATTATGCACAGCCAGCCTTTGATTGAGAAAAGTAATTACTTATAAGCCGCTTACTCCTTATTTTAACCAGCAGTAAACTGTATAAGCAGGAAAAACTTACTAGTTTTTGGTTTCAACAAGCTAGAAATGGTGAGGTGAGGCTGCCGGACTGACTGCCAAGAAGAATTTGCTGAAAAGGTTTTGCCAGATGTTGCGTTGTATTTAGTTGGTTGGCGAAGGGGGTGTTGTGGATTTTTCCTGCTTTTTTGTTAGCCGAAGGCTGCTGCTGTAGTTGTTGTGAAGACATTTGGTAAATAAACAGCTGAGCTGATTGGCCGGGAATGTGTGGGCGGTCGAGGTGGCTGCTGCCGATTTGGTTAAGGTTGGAGAGAAGGCTGAGAGAAAACAGCATGCTCGGGAACCAAAGGGCGGTGCAACCTGACGACTGGCCATGCCTGGGTCATGTGAAACGACACCAGCCAAGCTGAATGGGGCGCGCTGGTCACATGACGCTGAAAGGGCTAGTTGACTGGCTAATGCAGACTCAGAGGGTGGTGAGAAGAGACATGATGGTGACTCTGTAACGGGTTCATTTTTATTAATAGATGGACCAAAAAGCATAAAAAAATGAAAAACAAGCCATCAGTACAACCATCTATTAGCTAACAAATACTCCTATCGTGTTATTTAAAAAAAAAAACAGCAAGAGGGATAAGCTTGAAACCTTGCCTTGTGAGGACTTCACTCACCTGCAATAGGTAATTCAGTCCTGTAAAAACCATGCTGTAGATTTGATGGAAGTGCACAGTTAACATCCAGACAAGTTAGCCTGGATCCAAGAGTGTGCCCTACTTTAGAACTGGGTTCACAAAACAAGTGACAGATTTGCCACATTTATGTTCTAATGCTTCAGTTAGAATTTTTAAGTTATATTTAAAATGATTGTTGTACATTTAAAGTAGGCTTTCTTTATGAATAAAGTTGCCTACTTGGCAAGTATTTAATATTGTGCAAAACAAAGTGGAGAATACATTAGCCTGGAAAAGCCTAGGTTGCTGTATGTAATGTTTGCCATTATGGAGTAAAGGAAAGGACATATCCTAAGTTGAAGTAAGGGCAAGAAAGGGAAAGTGCGACTAGAAGATGAATAGATCTTAGGATGAAAGAGGATAAAATCCAGGAGAGAGGGCGCTGACTATCAACCTGCACACAGTGACCTAAGGACAAAAGCCAACATTCAACACAACTTGTATTCACCTCTTTTTAGAGTGTTTGGAATCTCCAAATTAAGAGCAGATGCATGTTTCCCATCAACATGCTTTAAAAAAAGCCTGCTTCTATGATGCTAAGTGGTAACAATGCCAACAACTCTCTATGTATGTACTCTGACCCAGTGTACCTGCGGCGAGGAGGAGGACTTCTTCTGCGATAATCATCTCGAGGGCGCCTACCCCATGATGGAGGCGGACCACGGTTCCGACTCCGTTTTTCACCATTGGACAGCTCCACCCTGACGCGGCACCCACACAGCGTTCTGAAATAAACATCAATACTTATAAAAGCTTACAGGAACAAGTTTGTCTATACACAAAAAACCTAATACGATTAAAAACCCATCTGAATGTTTTATTTACATGATGAATATTTGAAAGTCAGACAGCTATAGCAGTCTGAAGTTAGAAGGCAGAGTGGCACCTTATAGACTAACTTGTTCTGAGGGATCTGTGCTTCTATAGGTGACAGCCTACAAGATTATGCCCCTTACCTTCATTTGAAAACCTTTATAATCTATGCACATCAAACCTGAGCTAGCTGAAATCAAGATACTACCATTTAGGAATATTTCCAAAATTGCACTGTTAACTGTTAAGAGTAATAAAACACTGTTTTACAGACTTTTTAATACTTCAAGATTCAGCTGCATACTAGCTCTGTAATGCACACTATGTAGTGAACTGTTTTTGAAGATATTTTAAGATTAGATCCCTGTTGCAAGGATGACAGAAACACAACTTAGTGTTTTAAAGCTTCCAAAACTTATTTTCCCTAAACTGAAAGTTCCCTTCACTCAAATTAGCAATTAGGTATCAGTTTCATGCCAGATGTGCAAACTGTGAGAAGCTACCTATAGAACAGGATCAATTAAAATAGGCACCATAAAAGTTAAGCTCCTATGTTATAAAGCTGTTTAATCACAAGTTTTCTGCATCCCTAATTGTCTGGTTGCTTTTACCAATACAGAATATTGAACACAAACTGAGATTTTTAGTTTCAAGTGAACTGCATTCAGATATTTTTACCTTCCATCTAGCTCTCTTACTGCATCAGCTGCATCTCGTGGATCTTCAAATTCCACAAAAGCAAAGCCGGGAGGGTTTCTAGCCACCCACACACTCCGCAGTGGCCCATAGTAGCCAAAAGCTCGCTCCAATTCAGTTTTGTTGCCATTGTTGCCAAGGTTACCAACATAAACCTTGCAGTCCAGTGGACACGAGTCACGATGCATCACTACAACAAAAACATTTCAGGTCAGGTATTGTTTTTCTCTTCACAGCTACAGAAGTGCAATCATTACATGCTTGTGGGCAGGAAGGACATCACTATGTGACTGCTTCACCTACAGGCCTGTTAAGTGGGCCCCTACCTCATCCCACTTGCAGCCTTGAAAACACACTGCATTTTTGCACACGCAAGCACCACAGTGCTCGGAGCTGTGCAAAGCGCTCAGCACTGCAACACTTGCAGCCGTACAAGCGGAAAAAACACACATCAGCACTGAGAAAACAGCAGCACTTTTGAACTAAAACACATTGGAGGTGGATTAGTTCATAAGTACATCACTGCTACTTTCTGTGCGCTGACGTCCATTTTGCACACACCAGTTTGCCTCCGCCACCGTGTGGAGCAGACTATTAATTGAGCATCCTCTGAAGTGATGGAGCTCCGGTGCGTGGGGGGGGGAGGGGAGCAAAGTAGCAGGCATTTACGCACTGACCAGGTCCCATTTGGAAACGCTCCATCAGCTTCACTGGGAAGTGCAGCGAGCAAGAAAGCCAGACCTCCACCTTCTCCCAGGAATTCACACAGGGGTAAGGGAAAGGGCTTAGCAGAGAGGAGGGAAACTCAGCTGCCCACCCCAGCCAGCGCTGCGCATGCGCACACGGCCAAGCTAGAGTACGAGGGAGGCGCCAATAGGGGGCGCATGCCTCCATTCGTGCGCATGCGCGGAAGCCTCCATTGTTCCCGCGCGGCCAAGGGGGGAGGGGCAGGACGGCGCCATCCCCAGCGAGAGCAGCGCCCACCAGGCCTGCAGGCCGAGACGCCCTCTAGCCGGGCAGCGCCGCCGCAAAACACCCGCCTCCCGCACTCTTTCTCCCCCCGCGCGGTCGGGCCCCACCACCCGCACAAAATGGCGGCGGGCCTTTGTCTGCCGCCGGGCCCGGCGCCTGCGTCCGCTCCGCCTGGAGGGAGCCCCGAGGAGGGCCTCACCGATTCCGGGGGAGAGCGCGAGAGGGGATCGCGCGCGCGCTGCTACTTCTTCGCCACCGCCTCGATCCCGCCTGGGCCCACACTCCCCTCGTCCTCCCTGGACAAAATGGCGGCCGTCGCCTGCCCCGCCCGCGCTTATATGGCTTCGGCCGCGCCCCACGTGACGCCGCGGCGTTCCAATCACGGCGCGCGCTTCGAGTGACCGACGGCGCCGTGGAATCCGCCCAGCCGGGCCCTTCCCCCCCACCCGGGCCTGCACCATTCTCCTGTACCTGCACTCCCGCGCGTGGGGGAGGGCAGGCACCTCTCAGGACAGGAGCGCGGGCCTGCCACACTGCTGCCACGAAGGCCAACGTTACTGCATCCAGAAACAGGTTACAGGCCTCCTTGACCTAAGCAAACAGCGCAACTAAAACAGCCCAATCAATCTGGAGCGAGTTTTGATTTTTTGGAGGGGGCTGCTCCAACTTTTCATGGAGCCTGATTTGGCCTGAAATGAACTTTTCCATCCGGGAAAACGTATATGGCTGTTTGGCTATGTTGTAAATGGACACCCGGTTCCGCTTGGCGCTCGGCGGGTTTCATTATAACCCAAGGGAGACGCTGTCTCGGGTCGTTGTAAATGCTTGCGGTCGCCATCTTGGGTTGGTTTCGCTCAACACTGGGTTTTTCTGGAAACGTTTAGGAGCGCTACAAGGGGGGTCACCTGGACCACCCTCCACTGTTCATGGGCAAGATGAAGTTTCATTTCTACCTGGGAGCAATGCTACAATCTTTGCATCCTCCTTTGCCTGAGGAAGGGCGCAGGAACCCGAAAGCTTGCAAATAAAGCAAATGTTTTTTGCAGTCATTTGGTTGATCTCATAAAAAGAGGCCACCTCTACCACCCTGACTGCTTTTGCCTTTAGACCAACATGGCTCCAACCTTTATTTCTGAACCATGATGTTCAGCTTTCTTCCCCCTCCTACCTCCCCCATAAGATTTAAAAATGTACTTTTTAAATTAAATTGGAGATGCTGATATAACCCTGGGCCTTCAGAAGCTGGTGCCTTACAGAACACCACAAATACTGAGGGAAAATCACAAGAGGAAGGAACTAATTGAATCTCATATCCTTTGGTAGAGATTGTAAAGCATCTTGCCCTCAAAGCAGAAAAGAGAAAGCGGAGGGAGAAAAATAAGAGAAATCCTAGCCTACGGCCTACTCTGCCCTGTGGAAAGACCTGCAACATCTGTGGATGGCTCTGTGGCTCAAGGGTTGGACTCTTAAGTCCCCTTAAGACCCACCTGTGAACTGTAATAGAGATCACCCTCAAATTGAGGGTTTGCCAGTGACCTTTGGTAGGCTGTATTATTTCCTTCGCTTTACTACTGGGGCAACTGAGGCAGAGAGAGGTGCAGTGATGCATGCAGATCCTTTAGCCCAAGGGCAGGCAAAATGCGGTCCACGGGCCAGATGCGGCCTGCCAAGCCATTCTATCCGGCCCGCGGGGCCCCTAAAAAATTTAGAAAATTAATATTTATCTGCCCCCAGCTGCCTGTCATGCAGCCCTCAATGGCTTGCCAAAACTCAGTAAGTGGCCCTCCACCTGAAATAACTGCCTGCCCCTGCTTTACCCCAGGAAAATGTGCCACAGAAAAATGACACTATGCTTGACAACATGAATAGAAGCAGCAGTGACATGGTCCCAATCCTCAGTGACATAGTCCCAATCCTTACACAGCTCAACTACCTAGGGCAGTGGTTCCCAATCTGTGTTATGGGTACCACCACTGGTAGACAACCTGTCAGTGGTACTTGTTAACAGATTTATTATAATTACATGACAAAAATTTACTTAAGGTTGAACTGAAAAATTTGCTGGTGATACTTGAGGTTGTAGCATTTTAAATTGGCGGTGCGTAATCTGTCAGAGTTTGGGACCCGATGACCTAGGGTGTATAGGAAATTTCCCATCCAAATATAGATCCTACTTAGTTTTTATGAGCTAATGAGAGCCCAATCTGCAATAAAAACAGGTCAGGTGATGATCACAACCGCCTCATGTTCTAAAGAACTGATTCTCATCTGGGGTGCTGCGGTAACGCCAGGGTGCTGTGAAATCTTTTTAAGAGTGCCACAGGGTGTCACCCAATATTAACACTGTTAGGTATGCAAATACCTACGCATGATTCATTAAATAAACCCAAAGATTACAAATAGGAATCCATAGTTCAAAAACATTCTGACCTGTTTTGGTTTTTCTGAGTTCTTTGCAACAGAAGAATTGCTGTATTATTTTTAAAAAAAAAAAGTGAGGTGGAGGGTTGCCACGAGTTTAAAAGATTGAGAACCCCTGTTCTAAAGGTTTCTCAATGGAGGGGGAAATACCACTTGATCCAGCTAGAAGCCTCATGGTCTACATTAATTAGACATTTCTGTCTAATTTATTGTATACTGCATTCTTTTGAATGCTCACAGGGCAGCTAGTCTGGATTTTTTTAAGGAACTTTTTCGTGTTCCAAGCCAATTCAGCCAAATCAAGTCCAAATTCATGAGTAGGTCCAGAACTATAGTGGCCCTACAACCGGCAAACATCCTGCACCCCCACCAGGGGCTTCAGATATTTCCAATGTCTTTGGCAGGCATCCCATGTGCAGGGCTAAATCCAGAGGCTTGGGGTTCGGATGCCCCCAGGTTTTGCTTGCCCTCAGCCATATGGCCGCAGGAGCACGCTAGGGAGGAACCTCCCATTTCCATAAAATGGGCATTAAGCCCCAACACCTCGGAGGGTACTAAACCATGCCAGAAGAACAGTTATTCCCCAGGGGCTTAAGGAAAACTGCCTCCTTGGACCCAGATACAGGGCAGGTATTCTGGATCAATAAGCTGAATATAAGCCAAAAGTGTGCCCTTGTTGCTAAGAAGGCTAATGGCATCCGGGGCTGCATTAGTAGGAGTGTAGCCACAGATCAAAGGAAGTGATTATTCCTCTCTATTGGGCACTGGGGAGGCCACATCTGGAGTACTGTGTCCAGTTTTAGGCCCCCACTACAGAAAGGATGTGGACAATTTGGAGAGTCCAGTGGAGGGCAATGAAAATGATTAATGGGCTGGGGCACATGACTTATGAGGAGAGGCTGAAGGGGAACTGAGCTTATTTAGTCTGGAGAAGAGAAGACTGAGAGGGGATTTAATAGGGGATTCAGCTACCTGATGGGTGATTATTATGAAGAAGATGACACTAGTCTGTTCTCAGTGGTGGCAGATGACAGAACAAGGGGCAACGGTCTCAAGTTACAGCAGAGAAAGTTTAGGTTGGATATTAGGAAAAACGTTCTCACTAGGAGGGTAGTAAAGACCTGGAACCGGTTACCCAGAGAAGAGGTGGAATCTCCATGCTTGGAGGTTTTTAAAACCTGGCTAGACAAAGCCTTGGCTGGGATGATCTAGTTGGGGCTGGTCCTGCTTTGAGCAGGAGGTTGAACTAGATGTGACCCCTTGAGGTCCCTTCCAACCCTCCTTTTCTGTGATTCTACGATCTGGTGCATGGTAAGATTTAGTGGCCCAGTCACGGATCTAGGATTCAGGGAGTTACACTCATACAAAGTAATACCATTTGCAGCTTTGGATTGTTTACTTGGTCCCTGATTTTCAGAAGTACTGAGCATCTAGAAATCTTATTATACTGGAGTGGCAAGTGCTCAGCATCTCTGATAATCTGGTGTCAAAAGGAAGATTATAATATTCCTTTAGCCTGATTTACCACTTCTCTACTTCAATTTTAGACTAAGGGAATTCGTCTGTTAAGGGAAAGCAGAAGGGAAGGGTTCTTTCTGGGGCATTACAATAGGATTTGGGGTTAGGTTTTCAGGCCCCAGGATTTAATTATTCACAGGACCCAGAAATTATTTTAGTGTCCTTCCCAGCATAATAATTGTATGTGATTATTTCCTTATTGCTTTTCTGGACCATACAACCATCCCCTTGCTAGCCCAGGTAGGAAAGCGATATCACAGAATAACTGTAAAAAAAATCAAAAAACAAGGTACAGCAACAAATCTGGCCATTGCCTTTTACACCCACTGGTAAAATAATCTTAGTTTAATTGTTATCAAAACAGTGCCCCTACTGTCTCTGTGTACGAGATGTATATGGGGCTGCCGGTTATAGCTGTGTTGGTCTAAGGACATAGGTAGACAAGGTTCTTTGGGTTGATGTGGTCTCTTTTATTAGACCAAGTGAATAGTTTGAAAAAATGCTCTTTGCAAGCTTTCAGGCACAAAGCTTCTACCCAGGAAAGCACAGAAAACACCACCAGTTTCTCCCTATGCTGGAAGAGGGGTGCTTGTGCCTGAAAGCTTGCAAAGAGCAATTTTTCAAACTATTCACTTGGTCTAATAAAAGAGATCACATCTACCCAAAGAACCTTGTCTGAGATGTATGTGGGGTGATATAAGTAACTCACAGCCCAAATTGTGGCATCCTCATACAAAAAATGTAGTACTTGGGTTATGTGGTTGGGTGTGGTGGTGTGAGATTCTTTGTAGTCTTAGGGCTTACTGTGAGGTACCTCTGATCTCTCCGTCAGGATGGGGAGGGGAAAGTGGGGGAATGGAAAGCAGCAGTGCAATGCATTAGCAGTTGCTTCACAATCAACAAAGGGAAATGGACTCTATTTTACCACCCATGTGTGGTCAAACAGTTTCCTCTCAACAGGGCGGGTGTTTTCTGTCTCTCTTGCTCTTCTTTTTTCTATGTGCACGCACTGTAGGATCAACTGCAGAAGTTAAAATCATTTTGACATCAGTCTTCAAACATATGTACAAACCCTCCATGAACCCAATGGGATTCCTGCCACAGACATGCCAAGAGAAATTTCCCCCAGATGCCAAGAGAAATTGAATCTTCCCTGAAATAACATCTTAAGGAATCTTTTTTCCCATTAACCCGTCTCCTCTCCCTCCTTCCCCAATAAAAGCCGGATAAAACTTGTGGGGCTTGATATTTATTTTCCATCAAGGTCAAGTCCAGACTCTGGCAGATCAGGGAGGAGAAAAGAGAGTGGAAGAAGTAGAAAATGGAAGTTGGAAGAACTGTGATGAATTTGCCTTAAGTGGCAAGACGCAGGCAGGCTTCAGGGT